AACTGCTTCAATCCCTGTTACCGCAATATTACTCGAATGCTCGACCATCTCTCTTTCAGACGGCATCGCCATCTTTACGGTCGCTTCTCTGGCCGATACCGCTAAAAAAAAGCCATTGGAGATGACTAGGGAGTGATACATTTATGAGAAATTGAGAGATTTTTGGAGAGAGAGAGTGAGAGAGAGAGAGGGAGGGAGAGAGAGAGGTTCTTTTATTTAACTCTTACAGTTTTTTTTTTAATTAAAGAACTATGGGGATATGTTCCAAGGGCTTCAGTTGGTCTTGGACATTGGGGCTAAAAAGATTATTGTCGAGGTTGATAATAAGAGTATTATTCCGATGGTCGAAGATGTTCACTATTGCGGCCCGTTTGGGAGTGTGGTGCGTGGGATTCAGAAGCTTCTGGGTCGTCCTTGGTCCGTGGTGATCATTCATGGGTATCGGGAAGCAAACTTTGTTGCGGACTATTTGGCAGGACTTGCGGCCAAGGGTCCCGGTGGACTTCACTATTTGGAGAGACCCCCGCCGGGGGCAAGCATCTGGTTACACCATGATCTGGCTGGTGTGTCTTATCCTAGGTCGATTGTTATCTAGTTTTTCGTAGGCGTTTTGCCTCTCTTTATTGTACCCAAAAAAAAAGAATGAATCCCATAATTGACGAGACTAGTATTCGATCATGTGTACATACACAAATGTTTAAATTATTATAATTTATATGCATATATATATATAATATTAAAATTATAAGTTAGATAATAGTATCACAATTAAAATTTTTGTCATTAATAAAAATAAACATTATAAAAGTACTCGACTTCATCACTATAAGATTACATAAAATGAAATTGATAAGATAGTTTTTATAAATATAAAAGATTATGACCCGCTAATTATCTTAAAAAGTATTATTATTATTATTATTGTTATTATTATATTATTATTATTATTATTATTATTATTAAAAGTTTAGTAGGTTTGGTTTTACCACAGAATGTTTCAAGATGAGTTGTCACCCTAGGGTAGGAGAATTGTTGAAGACCGCGAGTCCCCGATGCATGGTCAATGGTTCACCGGGGGTCGGCACCCCAGCAAGGCAAAAAAGAACCTATTGGGAGTGAAGCTGGCGGCTATAGTCAATAATAGTATAGTCAAAAAATTTAAATCTTATAAGGATATTGCAGAATAAAAAATAATGAATGCAGGTCATAAAGATTTTTAATAATGAAGTCCTATTTTATGCATTAGTGATTGAATAAAATTTATTGAAACTTGCCGGCAATTATATATATAGATATATATTCTCTACAAGGTAAGCTATCATTCCTTATATCTAGTAACAATTATATTCAGTTAGATAAAATTGTAAATAAGTTTTTAAGTTGCATTTTTTTTTTTTGGTACAATTTAAGTTGCTTTTTTACAATTTTGTAGCAATCACTAAAGTATGCATGTAAATCAATGTTTTAAATAACGCTACGTTTTTTTTTTTTTCC